CCCCCCCCCCCCCACTCTCAACCTTCCCTCTTTGAGCCTGTGTAAGTCCTTGGGGCTATAACCCAGCCACTTGCCTCAAGGGGCATTTATTAAATGTGTACTTTGTTCGAGGCACTTTCCGGGTGCTCAGGGCAGGAGTGTATGGGTGTGAGCGAGGAAGGGGAGGGGACCTTAAGGAAAAACAATGACGCAAACATGATCCTTGTTTTCAAGGAGGCTTCGGAGTTTTTCACGACTCCTTCCATTTTCCAGTTCCATAAAGGTCCTGCTTCCTAAGGCAAGCGTCTGTGATGATGTAGAGTTCCTAAGGTCTGTCTGTCAGTGTCAGCCACTCTCAGCAGTAAGTGTGTGCACTGGGGGGAGGGAATGGGGTGGGGGGGCATGGGGCGTGGCTGCAAACGTACCCCCTGGTGCTACCGACTGGGTCACTGGGGCATCCATCAAACTCCCTCACAGAACAGTGTGACTCTCAATCTTTTTCTGGCCAATAATAAAACTTTCGCCCACCAACGCCATCTCCTGCAACAATACCTACTCTGCTGTTTGTGATACATTCTGATACTGTCTATGCAATTCCATTTCCTTTAAAAAATGCTGTTTGTATCCAGCAGTTTGAAGATTTTCATATATAGAACCAACAGAGGAAACAACCACCATCATTTCCTTTTAGAAAGAAAGAGGGAAAAATAACATAAAATAAAAACAACTTGGTGTGACCAAGCTGGCCTCATCCCTCAGCCGCCGGAGCCTGTTTGGGTCTCCCTCCAGCCTGTCCTCTTCCCACCACTGCCCACCGACCTCGCCCTTCCCAGTCGGGACCCTGACCCAAGCTGCTCTCTGTCCTGCCTTCTCCCAGCTCCCTTCCCTTCTCTCCCTTCCCTGCTCCTTGTTGCTCTCACCTACCATCCACAGCTCTCCCCTTCCCTCTGGGCTGCTGGAAAGGAGGGGAGAGGAGGCTGGAGGAGCCTCTGGACCTGGAGCTTACTGCTGTGGACTTGCCATTCAGGGGGATGAAGAGAGCTGGGAGTGAGAGCTGGAGAAAAGACCAGCAGAGGATCTGGCTCCATCGCTCGGGGGCTTCCCCTCTGAGGTAAAGGAGCAAGGATGTGGTGCACAGTTAAATACGGTTTTTTGTTTGTTTGTTTGTTTTGTTTTTTTAACATCTTTATTGGAGTATAATTGCTTTACAATGGTGTGTTAGTTTCTGCTTTATAACAAAGTGAATCAGCTATACATATACATATATCCCCATATCTCCTCCCTCTTGCGTCTCCCTCCCACCCTCCCTATCCCACCCCTCTAGGTGGTCACAAAGCACCGAGCTGATCTCCCTGTGCGATGCGGCTGCTTCCCACTAGCTATCTATTTTACATTTGGTAGTGTATGTATGTCCATGCCACTCCCTCACTTCATCCCAGCTTACCCTTCCCCCTCCCCGTGTCCTCAAGTCCATGCTCTAGTAGGTCTGCATCTTTATTCCCGTCTTGCCCCTACGTTCTTCTGATCATTTTTTTTCTTTTTCTATTTTTTTTTAGATTCCATATATATGTGTTTTTAAAAAGTTTAAAAAAATAGCAGCTGTATTTTTTAAAAACTAGCTAACACTTAACCAGCACTTCTGTGTGCCAGGCCCCCTCCTGAGTGTTTACACATCAGTACATGGAAAATGTAATCCCTTCCACCGACCCTCGCAACGTTGACTCCATTTTACAAAAAGAAACTTTGAGTCACAGTTGGAAACCTGGGGTCCCACAGCCAGAAAGTGGCCAAGTCTGATTCTGAGCACTTGCTCCCTGTCTGGGAATCCGTCTGCATGGCTGCGTGTTGTCTGAATGCCCAGCACCTGCTCTGCTTATGGGGAAGCAGAGAAGGGCCTGGGAAGCATGGAGACAGCGGAAGCAAGAGATGCAAAAACACAGACCTCAAAAGCTGGGGGTGGGTGTGAGAGGCTCAGAGGAAGGGGAGGGGAATGGGGTGCAACGAAAACACAGAGGATATCAGACACAGGCATTAAAGGCGAGATGTGGCATCAGAAACCCAGGGCTGGGTGGTGAGAGAAGCCAACAAGCTGGAAACCACAGAGGTGGCTGTGACGGCCATGTCCCAGGTAGGTATTTAGAGCATCTGCAGTGGGCTCTGCCTTCTTTGAAGGCTGTGTGAGGGATGGCATATGCGCAGTGCCAGAGAGCTAAAATGCTGGTCTTAAAATAAAGCAAGCTTAGCAGTGGATGGAACCTTAAAAAAACTTAGAGGAGAAAAAAGCCAAGGAAAGCAATAATCAGGAGCTAATTTTCTGAGAAAATGTATTATTGGAACAAAAGCAAAGAACAAACAAAAAAACAAACCCTAGTCCTATTCAATGGGAAAATGATTTGAAATTTTAGCATCAGATGGCAAAGTGAAAATTAGGAAATTGTCCTGGCCAGATGGAACAGACAGACTCATCTCAGTTGAGAATCACAGTGAAAGTGTTGGATACAGGCTCTCTCAGCAGCCCCTGCACCGGCTGCCCCCAGGCCACCTACCTTGCACGATGAGGTGCACCCGGGAGGTCTTGGGGTGGTTGTCCGTCTGCACGGAGCAGGTGTACGGGCCCTCGTCGTACACGTCCACGTTCTGGATCTCAATGCTGTACTGGGTCTGGGTGTTGCTCAGGAGGACCACGCGGGGGTCCAGACACCACTTGTCATTCCCGGCGTAGAGGATGGTGCTGCGGTTCAGCCAGGCCACCCGGGTGACCCGGTTGTCAATCGTGCACCTGGAGGGAGGACCAGACGGGTAAGTCAAGGGACCGCAGAGAAACGGGAGCCATCAGGGTCTTCTTGGCAAGGCTGAGATGCCTGGTCACCATGCCTTGTCTTCGTCCCCTGCCCCCAATGTGTACACGCACACCTCCTGTTTGCTTTGGCCTGGGGGGCACTTTCTGGAACTCAGCGTCAGAGGTCTTGCAGAACTGCAGCCTCAGAACATTGGCTATTTCAGACTTCCAGGTCCTGAGTGATTCTGTGCTTCTGAAAACCCCTGAGCACAGGACTATTTCAATACCCCTAACTATTCACTAGTTATAGCCTGGAACCATCATCCATCCTCAGAATGGCTGGGCCCTGGGACTACCCCCATCCTCCCCCCGCTCTGGGATTTCCATGATGTGCATGATGATAATCCCTCACATTGCTTTCAAGATGCTCTGGGTGTACTAAGTTGCTCAATACTCAAAACAACCCTGTGAAGAAGGTTCTATTGGTAAAAAGAATTGAAGAACAGAGACACTGAATGCTTCTGGCAAATGGCACAGATAACGTGCGCTAGATCAGAAACCCAGCTTTTAACTACTAAACATTCTTTCTCCCATCTCAGAATAGCGAATTCCAACAGAAGGCTTTTGAAGTCAAAACTAAATATGGACCCACCACCATTGCTATTTCTCCTCATTATACCCAGGGGCAGAAATGTTCAATTACTGCTAGACTAAAGGCATTTTCCAAAATCTCAAAATGGTTCGTACATGTAAAAATAGACTTTCTTTCTTTTATTTTTGCATCTGGAGTCCCCAAATTGTGGAAGCTCCCTTCTCTTTTCCTACACTTTCAAATTTCCCAGCTACTCTGGCCAAATCCTCATCAACTCTGTCTGCATTCACTTCCCTCTCTAGCCACAGCGAGTATGTTTTACGGCCTGAGGCTAAATTTCACAAACACAGTGTCCTGAGCCTGGCTATAATGCTGGAAATAGCAACTTAGCCACGGTAGGTACAGTGTTGCCTCCAATGTAATCATGCTTTTGCGCGGTACCAAGTACGTTTACATCCACCCTGTCTCATGTGATTCTTGCAGCAAACCGGTGAGATAGATGATCTTACCCACCCATTCTCCACTTTAAAGATCAGGCCTCCAGGGTCGGAAATGGTCTGATGACTTGCCTCAGGATAGGGAGCTAGGGAGTGATGGAGAGTCAGACCCCTCAGCCAGGTTCTAAGTCCTGGTCCTGGGTGCCCCTCAGGATGCACAAAGGTGAATTTTTCAGGGACGGTTGCTTCCACTGAATTCTCATAATTGTCTGTGACCATAAAAAGCCTGAGAACTGCTGCTGACTATACCAGCTTCCCCAGGCAGTGCCTCTCGAGATGTGCTCTCCAGTGCTGTGCGTCCTTTCCACTCGTACTTGTGTAAATGTCACATGATCATCGCCGGGCCTCTCAGGCACAGGCGGAAAGGCTTGCTGAGAGGCCCTGTAGGGAAAACTGCTCAATGAGAAACACCTCTGCTCAGCTGTCCAGCTTGCTTTGTGCTGCTCACTGCGTTTTTTGGACAACAAAGGATAGAAATGATGGGAAACCTGACCAGGGGAGTATTTCTGAAAGCGGGCATGGACCACTTGCATCAAAATCACAGGAGGTGATTTTGTTACCGATTTTCTTGTCCTACTGATTCAGAATCTTTGGGAACTCAGAAACATGAATTTCTAACAATACCCCAGCTGGGTCAGACACCCACCAAAGTTTGAAAAGCACTGGGGTATATAGCAGGGTATCCAGGACCAGCCGCATAACCTGTGGATCTCAGTGCAAAACGCAAATGCAGAGTCCTTTGCTCAAGGACTATTAAGAATTTCAAGATGGCAAGAGCAGGGCATTTAACAAGTGCAGGGTCCTGTGCGAATAAACACACACCCTGAAGGGATGTCCCACACTTTTGTGCTTGTAACTCTCTTCGGGATCTTACTTAAATATGCATTCTGATTTGGAAGGTCTGGGGTGGGGCCTGAAAGTCTGCATTTTTCGTAAGCTCCCAGGAGATGACAATGCTCATGGCCCCCAGACCATCACTTAAGAAGCATAAAGCTAGAGGGAACTGTATGCACGTGAGGGTTTGAGAAGCACTGAGCTAGCCTTTCACTATGTGAAAGTGTGACCAGAAAACCAGCAGGTCGTCATCGCTGGGGAGCTTGTTTGAAACACAGACTCGGGCCCCACCTCAGATGTAACGAACGAATCTGCATTTTCATAAGCTCTCCAGTAACCAGGATGCACATGTGGTCTGGACTGGTCTAGAGTGAACTCCAAGACTTGCTGTTGGCTGTGATAACAATATCCTGAACATACCACGAGACTGAGCAAGAGGTAGGGAAGAGCAGCTGATGCAGGAAGCTGGGCCTCCCTGATGCTGTACTTGCCTTGCACACCTGATGCTCGTCCTCTCAGGCTACCTCACTAAAATGTGGATGTGAGCCACCATGGTGTGCACCCCCTTAAGAACAACACACTCCACAGCTCCCTTTGCCAGCAATGTAGCTGGGATGTCATTCATATTCATGACTTTAAGGGCAGTCACTGCTCTGAATTTTGCTTGGATCCAAGGGGAGGAATTGGTGAAATTCATATTCACAACTGATGTTTATTGAATGCATATTACTATATGCTAGGTATCCTGTGAGTCTGTGGTATGTGCTATTTTATCATCTTAAAAAAACTTGGTTGCGTTCACCTATTACGGCCAATTTACAGATGAGGTTAACTGAGTCTAAGAAATATTATCCAAATGAACTAAGATCACCCTGCAGAACCAAGATCCAAACCCAGTTTTTGTTTGTTTGCTTATTTTCCCCCAAAGTCAGTGATCTTAAATGTCCTTTTCCAGGGCTTCCCAAAAGTCCCTACAACATTTAAATTCAACTATCTGTAAGTCCTGACAAAGTACAGATTGCTGGGTCACTCCCTGGTCTGGGGACCCCAGTTTGAGAACCATTAATTTAGACACTTCACTGGTTTCTGGTGACACGAGAGCCGCAGCGCAAGTGGGCACTAGGAAGTGACTCTCATTTGAAACACTTTTCCACTACTTTACGGGAGAGAACTTTCTTGCAACCAGTGTGCCCTGGGAAGCCAAAAGCAGAGTCCCATTTATTTTGTCCTCCAGCAGCTGAAATTTGACCAAACACCAGGTGAGTGGCAGTGGGGCAGGAAATGCTGATCAACAACCTCTAAACTGCTTGAATAATTGTTTCTGATGCCCACAATGGGGGCATTTCACAGCCTCTCGGTGAACACGAGAGGGCCGTCCTGGGCTTCCGTGTGAGTGTCTAATGATTGGAAATTGAATGAAACGGAAGCGGCCTCACCACACTGCACCGCACTCACAGGGCCAAAGGTGCTCATCTGCAGAAGCACTCATGCTCCGACACAACCAATTTCAGCAGTTATGCGGCCCCCGCGATATACTACACTGAAAAGCCGGCACAGCTTCCGCCCTGGTTTGGGGCACATCGAAGGTCATGATTAGAGGTCCAAACTGTCATTGCTGGGTATCAGTCTTGCTGTGTCTCCACGGAATTAATGTGGCTTCTGAGAGATGAGTCACAAAGGTAACTTGGTGGCCAACTCCTGCCACCTCCTCATACCTGCCCTCATCTATCCGTCTCATTTACAGAACGATACACAGGAGACAATTCTCCAAGTATTAAAAAAAAAAAAGTGGACGTGAGCATAACTGCACTCTCAGGCAGAGCTGATGCTTTGGTTAGTGGGGAGTTGGTGGGGAGAACAGGTGGGAAATTCAGTCAACAGGTTCCCTTTTTCCAGAGACAGCCCTTAGTTCACTTCTACAGAATTACTCCTAAAACACATGTATTTCATGCTATTTCAGCTCCCTCAGGAAGGGGATCAACTATAAGATTAACCGGAAGTGAGCAAGGCTTCAAACTCAACCCTCCCTGACTAACCCAGATAAGTGTAACAAGACATGGCCACTTGCCACTGAGGAAAGAGTCAAAGGTCAGCCTGAGGCAGGCCAGGAAGAGAAGTGCAGAGTCAGAAAGGATTGGAGATGGCCTGGCCCAACCCTGAAGATCTCCACCCCTTCCCCCCACAGTCCTGAGATGCACTAGGCACCCACCCTGAGCATCCTCTCCTCCGTCCATCCCACCACGTATGCAAAGAACAGAGGAAAAACCTCTGCACACACAGGGCTTCTGGATTGAGCCCTGGAACTCCCCAAACTCCAAACATGTCTCCTCTCAGAGCCTCAATGCCTGACCTCACTTGCATCCATACTCGAGCCAGGGGCCATCAACTTTCCCTATATCTGTAAGCGATCCATCCCCTCCCACAGGGCTGGCGGCTCTCCCCTCCTGTGTGTGGTCCCCATGGACAGCCCACAGCCTGGCCTATGCAACATCCTGACAGAATCCAGACAGAGAGAGAGTGCCTGGGAGGGACAGGCTTGTTTACCATTTCACTGCTGAGCGAGTGTCCTTCTCAGTCTGTCTGTCTGCACCCTGCTCCCTTCCTTGGAGAAGCTTCTTCTTACAGAGAACAGGCCTGTTTGAACACAGGCCGTCAAGGACATCCAGCCTGCACAGATCATCAATGCATTCTCTTTGATGATGTCTGGTCAGGTGTGGCTGACCAGAAGGGGACCATCCACGTGCAGCCACGCCAGAACACGCACCTGAGCACAGTGCACGGTGGAGAGAACCGACACACCTGAAATTTTCTGCAGCTGCGCCGATTGTGCCGAAGCTCTAAAACTGCAGCCCTCTGTGCCCTTCATCTCCTGCTGATGAACACTGGCTTTATTACCGTTGCTGCATTTGTACATAGAGGAATAGCAAACAAAATGATGAAGCAAGGCCAGGATGAGTGCGGCAGAGATAAAACATGGAAGTGTGGATTCGGGGCCTCGAGCTACTTTTGGATTTTAGAGGAAAGGAGAAAAAGAGACAGAGAGAGAAAGAGGAACCTGGAAGGTGGAAGAAAAATAA